GGAAAGGCAGCAGAATACAACAGACACTAGAATGGCAATATGTAAAACAATGGATGTGTAACCAATGTGATTCTGCAATCTGTATACAAGGTAAAAATGGGAGTTCATAACCACTTGAATCAAAGTGTGAAATATGATATGTCAAGAGCTATGTAATGTTTTGAAGAGCTATGTAATGTTTTGAACAACCAACAATAAAAATTAAAAAAAAAGAATGCATCCCTCTTGAGTGAAAGTCCAATAAGAGCAGAGCATCAATAAGGACTATTGGATATAATACTCCCCTTTTCCAGTTTCACTTTCTATAGTTTCAGTTACCCCTGTTCATGTTAGTGGAAAATTCCAGAGAGAAGCATTTCATAAGTTTTAAATTGTATGCCTTTCTAAGTAGCGTAATGAAATCTTTCACTCTTCCACTTTGTCCCTCCTGGGACATCAACTATGCCTTGGACAAATGCATCTATGTTGTATATACTACCTCCCATTAGTCACTTAGCATCCATCTTATTATCTAATTTTCTATTGTGGTATCACAGTGCTTGTGTTTGAGAAGCTCTTATTTTACTTAATAATGATCCTAAAGCTTAAGAGTGTAGCCATGCATATTTGCCAAAAGAGAAGCCCTTAAGTGCTTCTTTTAAGTAAAAAGTAGAAATTCTTGACTTGAGGGAAAAAAAAAAGATTACATGCTGAGTTTGCTAAGACCCATGGTATGAATGAATATTCTATCTGTAAAATGTGAAGAGGGAAAAGCGAATTTGTGCTAGTTTTGTTTTCACACCTCAAACAGTGGAAAGTACAATGAATGTTTATTGAGACAAAAAGGCATTTTATTGGTATAGGTCTGTATAGGAAAAAAAAAAAGACCATAATATATGTAGGGTTTGGTACCATCCATGGTTTCAGGCATGAAACCATGCCACTGAAGGTCTTCTCCCTGCAGATACAGGGAGATTATTGTACTAAAAAAAATCCTTTTCATGTATTAAAAAGGAAGTGATTCTTTTAAGGTTAATACTCATCTTAATACTCATCTTTTGAACATATCATCAGCTACAAAGAAAATTATCTCAACATGGGCAAGGCAGAGAAGGTTAGTGAGTTAAATCTGACTTAAAATAGTTGTTAGGACTCAAAAATTTCAAAGGTTACTTATTAACATCCATGTGTAAGACATTTATGTGATTTCTTTCAGATCTAGTGTGCATAAAGCAGTAAGTAGTTCTCAAGTCATATAAAATATTCATTCCAACTATAATCAATTCCCTCCTAATTTTACCTGATAAAATCTTTAATAATTTCTATATCCTATTAACAAAGACTAACATGCTGGCTATAATATGTAGTAGATTAAAGCTATATTGTATACACATTTTTCTTTCACTAAACACATAGCAAAAGTGTGAACATGGTTAATACCACTAAAAATGTATTCCCAAGAAGAACTGTATACTATAGAGGTAAAATTTTTCAAAATTTACATATATTTGCTATTTTGAACAACTGGGTTCAATTTATGTAGTTTTGATCACATGTATTAATAAAATATGTGATGCTAATTCTCTTCAAAAATTTTTAATACCTAGAGGCTTATCATCACAGGAAAAATAAACAAATTCTAAAATATCGTATTCACATATGTTACATACTTCTATGTATATGCTTTACATATACATATACATACATAAGTGTGTGTATGTGTGTGTATGTGATTGTTAAAGAGATTTTACAGTAAGAAAATATTACATTAGAAATCATTTTGGAGAGGAAATTGGATTAGAAATGAAAATTCAAGGAGAAAAAGGAAGATGTGACTATTCTGAAGATTAAAAATGTCACGTATTTTTAAAACAGCCAATGATCAGCGCCAAATCATAGCATTTAGAGTCTGCTGCATACATCTAAGAGAGCAAGTTGAGTTCTGTATTTGAATGGTAATGTGTATACTAGGCAGAAATCATTTTTTAAAAATATGTAAATTTACAAAAAAAAAAAGAGATATCAGTTTTTTAAATGTGCAAATAAGCACAGAATGTTTCAAATGCCTTTCAGGTAGAAAGGGAGCCAAAGAATTTGAAGACACAGGTGGAAGGATTTCCTGATAAACAATCTCTCAGGTCCCTGTGAGGTAGACCAGGCGTGAGTTGGTCCAACTTCTGCAAACTGAGCTGCCTTATTTCCTGAAACTCCAAGAAGCTTGACTGTTTACGCTGGGCGGGGGCGGCGGGGGCTGGGGGAGGGGGGGACTTGAAAACAGGACCTGACTAGAAGATATGAGCAACATATTGGCAATGTATCCATGTTTGTTTCTTGGTAACAGAATTAGGAATGATTTTTCAAACTTTCTTTATTTTTATAATATTGTTTTCTAACATGACTATATATTGTTTCAAAATAAGAAAAACATTGTTTTTGAAGAATAAAAGCTGCAGAACTCACTGGAAAGCTCACCTCAGAGACATTAACTTCTGTTGTCTTGTCAGCCCTGTGACAGGAGCCATGGGTAGTAAGAGAATGTGGGCTTCTCTAGGAGTTAACACAAAGCTCACGCCCATGTGAGACTGTTTTTACCTCGCTGCCCAAATGTGTTAAAGAATAGAATATTTGTTTTAATGCTTGATGGCTGGCAAGAAAGAAACATTCTGGTTTTTGATTTGCATTTGTAAAAGGCTGCTTTATTTAAAGAGAGGAAGGAAGGAAGGAAGGAAGGAAGGAAGGAAGGAAGGAAGGAAGGAAGGAAGGAAGGAAGGAAGGGAGGGAGGGAGGGAGGGAGGGAGGGAGGAAGGGACAGACGGACGAACTTGCTTTCCTTCTTTGTGTATTATAAGGACCCTTAAGTTGGGTTCCTAAGTTGAAAAAACTGGTGCTTGCCAAGTACTAGGAATACTTTTTAAAATACTCTAAAAACTACTGCCCTCTTTAAACAGTAAACTAACTTAATTTTTGAAAATGACTTTTAAAGTCATTAGGAATAACAACTAAAAAGATTTATGTTTTCAGAATTATCTCTTCTTCTGCCTTAACACTGACGTAGAGTGTAAGACCTCTAAACAACTGCTAAAAGACAGTGGAACTAACAGAGCAAGGTGGAATGGAGAAAAAGTGCCTCAGCATACATACATCACACTTAAAAGAGCAGGAAAAAAGTGTGATGAGTCAGTGACAGAGTGAGCAGATCTCCTAATACTCATAATCCTGTGGAGACCTCCACTTTCTGCAAGGCATTTAGGCACCACAGGGAGTTCACATTCCAGTTGTGATTCTTCCCACTTTTGAGCCTAGCCTGCTCTTCACTCCACAGGGTTACGTATACCACACAGATCTTTTCTCTCCCGTTAGATTGTAAACTAATAGAGGGCAGGATTGCTGACTGAATTGTCTACATGTGTTTTACATCTCCATCCTCATGTAAAACAGAGGTTGAAAAGATGTAGGCAAGTGAATGAATGAACCAGTAAAGGATATGACAGTCTTCAGTGTCTGAGAAGTATATAAACAAAGATACAATAAAAGAAATAGAGATGTTGGAACCTAAGCAGTAGAATCACATAAAAACTAAATATAAATTTTAAAAGTAATTTACATTCATCAGATTTCAAAGAAATTACATTAATTTGAATCTGCAGTTCTTTGAATCATTGAGTCCTAGGAGTTTAATGAAAAGTACAAAAAAAAAAAATTGTACTTTTCCAAAGGAGGGAAAAGATCATTCGCTTGTCCTGTACTCTTAGGTGCCAGATAGCTAGAGGGAAAACACCTGCCTTCATCCTGGAAGTCAAGCACATTCTAAGTGTTTCTATCGCCATTCACATTTTCCCCTCCTTCCTGGAGAGATAGGACCTAGATAGATGGACAAATGTCATCCCATAGAGCAATGTAAAACCATTTTTCAGTGGCATCAAGAAGCTTCTTAAGAGAGCCTGGGCTTCAGTCTCCCAAGGTATAGAGTATAGAAACAAGTTTTCTTCACAACATATAGCATAGAAAGAAAAAAAAGATCATTATTTACTGTGTAAAACACTGAAACTGATACATCAGAGCTGATTCCAAGCTGCATATAGCTTAGTAAGGCAGAATACACATCTTAAACAATGGCAATGCATGATAGAATAGGAACACTGTAAGATCGGTCAGATAACCCACAGAGGGAGTTTAGAAGTGTGCCAGGGGATTCTTTGGAGGTAAGAATCTGAGCTTTAATCCTCTCCAAATACAGCACAGAGCACAGGAACAATGGCAGTATCTGATACCATTTCTCTCTCCAGATGCCTTCTATTAAGAGACTGCTTAAAATTCTCTCTAATTGCCTGCTTTATTAATATCTACAAGTATTTTTTCTTCTGTTTTTGCCATTACCCTAACCTAAAATATCTTTTCCCTCATTCTCTGCCTTCCAAAATCTATTCATTCTGCCATATACAGGTGAAATTTCATCTTGTATGTAAATTTGCTGCAACCTGGTAGGAACTAAGTATTTCTCAGAACCTCTATGCACGTTGCTTACAGCTCTACCTAGCAGCTGCATTTTTCTTTACACTTATGCATGTACACATTATCTTTCAAGTCCAAGTGTGACTTCTTTAAGCAGATTCATTTATTTTCATTATGCTCTGAACATAAAAACAGTGCTTCAAAGGAGAAAGAATCTGAGTCTTATAGTGTAGCACACCTGCATTCTGATCCCAGCTCTGTCATTTACAACTTGTTAAGCCTAGGCCTTACTTTTCTATGCTTCTATTTCTCCATCTGGACAGGAACCAATAATATCTTCTCCAGGCTGTGATAATGTTGAGACATGAAAAATGTAAGATGTCTAGTAGATTTAGTCATTATTAAAGGATAGCAATCCTAACTTTTACTATAATAATTATAAGGAGTTTTGTTGAATAAAAATATAAAATTACCTAGTATTTACAGTAACTAGCACACATCATGGAAGCTTACAAATATATCTTGACTTCAACTTAAAGAGGAGGAAGTCCCTGCTGCTAAAGACCTACCTTGAACTCTTTCTCAATGTTGGCCAGCACTGCCAGCTCATTGCTAAGTTCTAAAGCCGTCATCACTGGATCTTCACTAGACAATGACAGGTAAGCTGGACTTGCCAGGCCTTTATAGGCATTAATCCTAGATCTGGAGTGGCTAAAGGAGTCATGCTTTTGTTTCTGGTTGCATTCGCTGCACTTGCAGAAATAATCATGAGGCCGTTCAATCCGAGCACCCTTCCGCAGAAGAGTGTGCACAATTTCATATTCCTGGCAGTGAGCAGCAAGAATGATTGGAGTCACGTCATGGGAGAACCGTGTCCCATCTTCATCATAGGCATAAAAATCATCTTGTTGCAGTTCAGACTGGCTAGGGCTTGTGGCTAACCTCTTGCCTTCAGCAAAAGCCGGATGACTGAGAATTGCCTCCACAATCCGAACATAACCTTTACTAATAGCTAGAAGCAAAGCATCCCCAACCCGAGAGAGGTTTTCTTTCTTGAGAAGCAGCTCTGTAATTTCCAGGTGCTCATTGGCCACTGCCAATTGCAGGGCATTCTGGCCCATGTAATCTACACAGTTAACATTGAGGGAGACACATTCTTCTAACATCTTCCGCACCACTGGAATGTTGCCATATTCGGCTGCATCTAAAAAGCGTTCCTCCTCGATAGATAGGCTTGTTGAGCGGTCATTAAACATGTATGCTGGTCCTCGATTAGCTAACCTTCTCCCCTTTTCACGAAGAACCGTCTGCCGCCGGTGAGTCAGTCTATTGTCAGTGCCCCGGCTGCAATAAACGAGAAAGATTGTGAACAAATCATATTAAGAGCATTTTAGTGTGCCAAATGACGTGCCAGTCATCTAATGCAATCCTCAATATATTAGATGTTATCTCATCATCTCTAGACTTACTATATTATAAAATGAAGATGCATTTGTTTGTTAATGGATTCCAAGAACTTTTTTAAAAACACCAAGCTCTTTATAGATTTTAACATTTCAATCTGGGGTGGAGACTGGAAACTGCCATAATTTTTCCATATCATTCATATAGAGATTAATATGCGTTTCTCAATCACAGGTGGTATAAAGACTTAGGAAATAACTCTTTTACCCATAATCAGTCACCAATATGAGAGAGTGAGAAACAACCTTTTAAAAGTAAAGGTAATAATGTAAACTTTTCAAATCAAATATGAAAAATAATGATTTTCTATCTCTCAGATGATTTTATTTTCTTCTTTCATAGTTCTGTTTCTGAAACTCTTTTGATTTTAATGGTTAGCATTCCAAAGTTGTCCTTTAATTTTCTCATCTTTTCTCTCCTATTCTAATGATTTATCTTTTTTGCATTCTATTGTGGGAGATTTCTGCAACTTTATCCTCTAATATACCTAAAGAAATTTTTTCTGCTGTTTTATTTTTAATTTTCAAATACATCTTCTTTTTCTTTAAATTTTTCTTTTTGTAACGCTTCTCTGTTACCAAAAGTACAATCCATTTTCTTATCTCTGGGGTCATGGTCAAAACTGTCTAAGCAGGACACATTTCAGAGAACTTACTCCCAAGTTGCTTTTTTGTATTTGTTTACTTTGGTCTCTGTATTTTACATCAGAGTTTTCCCACAAATTGCTGCTGATCCTTAATAGACACTCATTTCCACTTTTTAAAGAAATACTTCTTCCAATACAATTTCTAAGAGTGCCGTTTTCCCTTAGGAGAGCTAGGCTGAACCTAATGTTGATTTTGGCAAGAGGTGATCCTGAGTTGGAGGGGAGTTTGTAGAAGAGCAGCATTATTTCTGAGTTAACAGGACAGATGAGGCAGAAAAGACACAAGGTTAGTTACATGAGCAGCCACCTGTCACCATCCTGCTGAAATTCTTAGCCCTCTTTCCTTCTCTGTCACCTTTCTGGCTTCTGATGGCATCTTTAGCCTTCCACTTTCTCTCTTCTGCATTTATTATTTTATATAGTTTCTGCGGCAGAAAAGAGAAAGTTCAAAGATTAGGGGAAGAAAAAGTGTCAGGTGAACATGGACAGTGCTTTAAAAAAGAAAAAAATGTATAAAACTAAGGAAGAAATGTATCAGGATCAGGGGATTCATAAGAATAGAGTGATGTACTGGGAGTGCAAACTTTCAAGGAAAGTTCTCAAGTAGCTAGAAGACAGAACCAAAGATGTGACAGAAAATAGTTCCAACTACCAAGAGATCAAGGATCAAGCCTCTCTTTTGTTCATTTTGTCTGTTAAAATTGGAGATAAAATATTCTAACCTATCTCAAATAATTATTTTCAGAGTCAACTGGAGTTATGAATGTGGAAAGTCCTTAAACTCAGATTGTATTGACTTTTATGCCCACAGAAAAATGTATTTTTGAGAGAGATGCCTGTACTTATCATTACTTATCTGTTTTTTATCAGAAGACCCATGAAAAAGTCAAGAACTGTGATGGAAACTGGTGTAAGTGACCTTTGTCTCTTTAAAGAAATAAAAAAATATTATCAGTAACTTTACTTGTATCTCAATTCATTTTTTAAATTCTGGTTTCCAAAGGTTTATTTGTTCATGTGATACACCTAAATTTACACTGAACTAGAATAAGCTGGAGTTGCGACATCTCTAATTCTAAAAATTTGAAATAATGCTTTTTTATTCTAATTATCATTTATTTGAGGGCAGGGGGCAAATTCTATCTTTACAAGCTACTATTCCTGAGAACATGTCCTCTTTCCTTCTACATGATTATGGTTTCCATTCTTATTGTGTTCATGCCATAACTACCATCCTCTTAAAGGAACAGCAAAAACATTTCCATAGAGAGGGAAAATTATCGTCAGTCTTAAAATATCTCCTGTTTTGGTCATTGTGCACAAATATTAATAAAATGGAATAACATAAATTTCAGATATATTTTTTATTAAAAGGGCTGGATTATCATTGTTTCTTTAACATTCTCTTAATAGAAAATCCAGATACAGAATGTTTACATAAACATTTCTATTGCTTTGGAAAGATTTTTTTAAAATGCATGCACAATGAAGTCAGTACCTATTGCATGGAGTAGAGAGATAACATGCAGCCGCTTGTATATTAAGAGAATAATATGCCTTTTCTGCTGCTCTCCTGCTATTTCTTAACTGCAGTGTAGTGAAGCAACTAAAGACTTTTTTGTTTTGTTTTGTTGTTACAAGTGGTGTGAGAAAAACATCAGTACCATCTCCGGCTTTTAAATGCAAAAGCAAAATATGTAAAACAACTTCCTAAATAACAAACATTTGAAACCTTTCAAGAAAGATAATAAATATTAGTAGATTATATCACCTCTCTGAAAATTGATTTTATATAGCTATATTTTAGAATTATGCATTAATAGAGAAACAATCTATTATAAAAATTGAACAACTCAGTTCACAGTACTATAGCAACAAAACAGATATTTCATTTCAGCTAAAGAACAATTTTTCCAAGTCAGTTCTTCTCTTTAAAAAAAAAATTAAGAAATTTCCTTTATGTATTTAGCTATTTTTAGCATGGTTAAATGTTTAAAAGCCTACATTTTCCTGTTTGAAGTTTTCAATTTGTTTATCACAATATGTAAATACCAGTTCTAGGAAAATGTGTAATTAGGCACTGCCCTGTGACACTCAAATATTGATTAGGTGATGAAAATCAAGCCTTTACCTACCTCATTTCCCTGATTGTTTTTGCAGGAAAAAATAGCGGCTGTTGCCCCAGATAGTGAGGGATGGAATAATCTATCTCTATCGAAAATGCCAGCCACACAAATTAGCTTCTGAGTAGATTGGACTGTGAGCTTGAGTCCAGAGCATGTGGAGTAATTTTCTCTACTTCCTGTTCAAATATGATGCACTTTTATCAAATGGAATTGCTGTTGTTCAAACTAACCTCCACTATTAAGACCCAGCTTAGGCGGGAGGGAGATAGGAAGGTGAAAATCTTTAAGGTGAAAATAGAAACAAAATTGGAGAAAAAAATGGAAAAAAAAAAAGACTCAGCTTAACTTTTAATTTTTGTTTAAAAATCCTTGCAAATATTCTAATTAAAGCATGTTTCTACTGAGGCAGAAGTATTAAAAATATAAATGGCATATAACTAAAATAACCATTCTAGGAAACATAGAAGACACAAGAATAGATTTTGTGGATTCATCCTTGGAAATCAGAAATTAAGGAAATCCCCAAATCTTTATTTTATTACATGCACAATTATCCATGGGAAGAATTTGACTTGAACATTTAGAGTTCAACAATTATACAACTAGCAAGTTTGCAGACTACTTTAGCAGGGTGAATGAGAAAAGTACCTTTAATCTTATAACAGTAAACCTGTTTTTAACCTGTCAACTTACTCTCTTACCACAAATCCCAAGCCTTTCTCTGGGATTGAGGAAGCAGTAGACAATTAAAGTGGTTTTCCTTAGTCCCATGAAGACAAAAAGTATTTTGCTGTATTCACAGAGAATTTACCACTCAGAGTGACCCATGGCAAGCACTTAGTACCTAACTGTCATAAGCATGAATGGCTTCTGCGGAAGGAATAAAGTTCACAGTCTTTTCATTCCCTATTAACCTGACCTCAAATCATTACAATGTACAACCCTACACAAAAAAGAAACAAAACATAAAGGTTGAATCATAGTGTGTCCTGGTAGATTATATGTAATATTTTGTATTCAGAAACATAAACAGAAAGCTCAGTAGGGAACACAGAAAGTTGAAAAGCATTATTTTTTTTAATGTCATTCATGGAGATTTTCTTATCCTTAAAAGCAGAACTAATATTCTCCCCGCTGCCCTGATTTTTGCTTGTCCTTGACATTGCACATAGAGCATGACCACCCATCTTCACAATATACTACCAAATCCCTTTAACTTCCAGATAGTTTTCTAGATAGCAAAGTCTTCATTCTGACTTGATTAGCTTCAATTTTCCCCATGAATTCCTCTCATGTCATCACATCCCAACTTTCTGTTTGATCAGTCACGCTACATCACAGGCTGCTTCACTACTCCATGGGCTAAATGATAGGAGCCTGAGCTATTTGCTACTTTCCGTGGGAGCTAGCAAAAGTGTGACTGAAAAATATCTTGTGCATGTTACAAATTTTGGTTGCTTGTTTTGATCATCAATTGACATCTTGTTTGTATAAAACAAAAGCCAAACTGTGAGAGAATGAGAACCTGAGTAAATAATGGCACAGTTATAGAAACTTGGCTTTTTATAAAACAACTATGTCTGAAATGTCATACTTCCTTTTTACCCTCCAATTTGCGTTTTAATTTATTTCATGTGTCATGTCTTTCTTCTTTAAAATGCTCCTCAGTAGAGTTATGGGCACAGGCATTTATTTTGATCTATTTTGATAGAGTACTTTTGGGAATATTAAAAAGTTTATGTGTAATACAAGCAAAATGTATTACAATTATCTCATCAAAGGAAGAAGTTTAAACTTTTGCTTCTATTATCAACAACTGTCAAAGTCCTGTGTATTTTGCAAGAATATTTTCCTATTCCACAAATAACCTCTGTATGAGACAGACTCTGGGCAGGAAAAAAGAGATCACACATAAATTAGATTATGTGCTTTTTAATGAAGGAAAAGAGTGTGTGTAGGCAGGAACTGGGAAAATTCAACATGGTGCCAATGTGTAGGACAATATAGGTTTAGGCCTGAAGGGACATAAGGAAGGAGCAGTTATCAAAAGTTAAGCAAGGTCACTGTAAGCAAGGGCTACTTGACAGAGGCTCTGGCCTTTGACAGAG